CTGCACCCGGCTCCATAAAACTTCTTATTCAATGCAATGAATGACCCTTTATTCTGAGACTGTATTCCTTTGGAGGCATTAAGCTGTTTTTATGAGACAGTGGGAAACCAGAGATTATGACTAGATTTTCCAAATGTCCCTTCTGGGTAAATTTTTACATGGCAATACTATGTGGCTTCCAAAATTCTATTTCTAAAACTTAGCTTGCAAGGAAAATCCAAAATTCTGGGAACCAGTGTTTTAGACAACTTCTGGAGCTTATTAAGATTAATGTATATATATATATATTATTATATATAATTATATTATATATCTTATATATTAATGTATATATTATATATATTATTATATATATTATAATCTTATATATTATTCTGTATGCTAATTTTCCTACTCATTTCAGGCATACCTGTCCATGTAGTAATAATACCGATACGACTCTTATCTTAAAGTCCTATATAGTAATTCAGAATCTAAAATGTATTGTTTAGCCATTCCCTTAATGCCTTGTATTGAATCTATGCCTTTATTAGTATGAACAGCTTTATCCAAATTAATTTTCTTCCTCCCAGCCCCAGTTCCATAAATTGCTCCCACAGGTATGGTTCTCAGCAGGGAATTTATGGGTCACTGGCAATGCAGTTTGTTTTATGTTTTGTTCTTATGATCCATCACCAGATTGTAGCAAAAAGACAATCTGCAGTGTAGCTGACATTTCTTAATACACCATCCAATAATGGGCTATAATTAATTCTGATGATTTCTCAAACAGTTGCCTTAACTCTCATTTCTTGAACTGCTCGAGAGGCTACGTCTGTTCCTCATGGTGACACTGTCCCTCAAATTCCCTGTACTCATCTCTCCTAACCACTTCCTGAGAGGATGTTGGCCTCCAAACTTTGGTATCTCAATTCTTTATATTTTGGATGATAATCATTTAATCTTTTAAACCATCCCATTATTTTCACCCATGCTGTGGCATTCCATTTAATATTTATTCCATTGCCTTTGGCTGGGCTGTTTCTCTTTTATGCTCCTGATATTCAGGCACATGTGTCTTGTGTATGATGATTTTCTCCATTGCCTCCGTGGTCGTCAGTTTATCTTCCCTGTACAGCTGGGTTAAAAATGCTATTTCATTTTCTTCTAGTTATTTTAGAGATAAATACAGTGGAACCTTAAAGCAGAGGCCTTTATGCTCTGAAATTAGTAACTGCAGAACTTTCTGGTAAGAGTGAGATTTCCCCAGTGGACCTGTCCACATCACAAAATGACAGATGCCACAGGACAGCTACTGTCTCCTATCGGGAGTGAAGGTGCACGTGGTGTCTGACGACTGCAACTTTAAACTCTTTCTAAAGGGGCCCGGCACCCTAAAATTCTCTCAACTGCCAATGTTGGCACCTGTATCTCAACAATCTGACTTAAATTTTCAGTACCAAAAGTTATCAATATACAAAAAGCAATCACGTGAAGAGATATACTGTCACCCAGGAGTTCAAAAACCAAACCAAACTGCTACAGAGGTATTTCACCTACTATTTCCTTTTCTTTTTGACATGGGGTCTTGCTTTGTTGCCCAGGCTGGTCTTGAACTCCTGGCCTCAAGCAATCCTCCCAACTCAGCCTCCCAAGTAGCTGGAATTACAGGTGCATGCCACTGGACCTGGCTTCACCTAATTATTTTTCACATCATGAAACTCCACGGGAAATTTCAATAGCTTTGCCAATAGATAGACAGCAGAGAAAAAAACAATATGATAAAGAATAACAGTATGTATTTATGTAATCATTTACAAAACTTTAGATTACTCTATATAGATTTTTACATTATCTACATCTGTAATATACAGGGAAAAAAATTCAAAAGTAAATTCATTGAAAGGCTACCAGTGGTTATCTGTAGAGAGATAGAATTATAGGTAATTTTAATTGTCTGTATACTTTTTTTGTAATATATACTTGCATTATAGACTTTATAAAAACTTCTTTGTACACCCATGCATAAAAGCCATACTTTTATTCTTTTTTTTTTTTTTTTTTGAGACGGAGTTTTGCTCTTGTTACCCAGGCTGGAGTGCAATGGCACGATCCCGGCTCACCGCAACCTCCGCCTCCTGGGTTCAGGCAATTCTCCTGCCTCAGCCTCCTGAGTAGCTGGGATTACAGGCACGCGCCACCATGCCCAGCTAATTTTTTGTATTTTTAGAGGGGCAGGGTTTCACCATGTTGACCAGGATAGTCTCGATCTCTTGACCTTGTGATCCACCCGCCTCGGCCTCCCAAAGTGCTGGGATTACAGGCCTAAGCCACTGCGCCCAGCCCCCATACTTTTATTCTTTTAAAAATTTGAATTCTTTTTAAATGGAGGTAGAAAAGATTCTGTTGAATCAAATGCTACTAATTAATCATGCTAACGAACCTCAACTTTTATTTAGGTCACTGCTTACTACACACAAGTCCCACATTTTTTTTTTCATACATCCAGGTTTCCTATCATCACTTATAACAGTAAGTCTACAGAGACTTATTATAAAATACAAGAATGAAAATTCGGAAACTACCATAAACTTTCAACTGCCTTTGTTCAAGGCTGCAGTCTCAAAAGAGTTGTAAAATAGCCTGCAATGAGGTCTACATAAAAGTAAAACGATGGTATCATAGTTAAGTTTTAGAAAAAGTTCCTGTTAGATAAATACCATTACATTTACTGGCAATGATAAAATGATGCACTTAACCATTCTTTAAAATATTCTAGTAAGAAAAAGTGGTGGGGGGAAATAAAAACAGATAAAACAAGAACAGCGGAAAGTTGGAATTGCTGAAGCGAGGATGGATACAGAGCTACATTACCATTCTATTTTGCATATATTTGAAAATTTTCCATTATACGATGTTTTGAAAAGGTGCTAAGAAAAATGAAAAGAAATATATACCTGCGCACAATCATTCATCAAATCAACTAATGTAAGACAATTAAGCTAATAGCCACTTTTCCTTTTTTCTGAGACAGTCTCTCTTTGCTGCCCGGGCTGGAGTGCCATGGGGCAATCTCGGCTCACTGCAACCTTCGCCTCCTGGATTCAAGTGACTATTTTGCCTCAGCCTCCTAAGTAGCTGGGACTACAGGCACCTGCCACCATGCCCAGCTAATTTTTGTGTTATCAGTAGGGACAGCGTTTTACCATGTTGGCCAGGCTGGTCTCGAACTCCTGACCTTAAGTGATCTACCCACCTTGGCCTCCCTAAGTGCTGGGATTACAGGCGTGAGCCACTGTGCCCGGCCCACTTTTTCTTTTTTAACACATCAGAGTGACTATTTCAAAGTGGGCATTCTACGTTAAAATTCCAACAGAATTCTGATTCTGTACTTCTTCTTTATTAGGCAAGACAGTATATACATGTAAAATATTTTAAGAAAAAAATTGTCTTTCATATGCATCTACAAATTTGATTCAGATTTTAGACTGTCCTTCCTAAGCCGGATTCAGAACCAAGATAGTCAGCTAACAGAGTACTACTGGCTTGTGACATTTAAAAACTAAAGCAAGGTGCATGCTAACTCAAGCAGCAGCAAGATCCTGCAAGGGCACTGTCTCGGCTCACTGCAATCTCTGTCTCCCAGGTTCAAGTGATTCTCCTGCCTCAGTCTCCCCAGTAGCTGGGATTATAGGCATGCACCACCACGCCCAGTTAATTTTTTTGTATTTTTAGTAGAGACAGGTTTTTGCCATGTTGGCCAGGCTGATCTTGAACTCCTGACCTAAGTGATCCATCCGCCTCAGCCTCCCAAAGTGCTAGGATTACAGGTGTAAGGAACCTCATTCTGTGTGACACGGAGACAGAGCCCTGCCACTTTCTCTAAGAGGAAAACACACTGGTCTGTACCCAAGTAAGCTGTGGAGCAGAAAACCTCAGCACTCAAAGGAAGTAGACAACAAAAACCAACATCATTTATCTGAGACAGCCTGTTCCCTGTAACAGCTGCAGAGGCTGGCAGGAATACCAAGGATCTGGGATCCCCAAACTGATGACTTCCCAGTGCATCAAAAGCAAAACTTACATGTAACCTCAAGTCACTTTCATAAGGCACACTTAAAGAGTTTTCATTATCACAAATGGTCCTCCTATTTTCTGCAAGAAGGTTGGCAAAGCCTGTTTTATTTTCATTTTACAGGTATAGAAACTGAGATCTGGGGCTGTTAGGCTAGCTCTTACACAAGTCTTCTGACTTCAGGGACAGAATTCTTTTTGCTACCCAACCCTGCCCTTGGAGTGTGTCTATGAGGGGAAGGAGGGGAGGAGAGGAAGAAGGTGAAGCAGGGCAGAATACAGGGGGAATGTGTGTGAAGTCTAACACTTTCTGAGTTTCCAAACACCCAAAGTTATTTTCTTATTATCCATGGAGTTTGGTCTAGTCTCTGCTAAGATCGTGGATTTAACTGCACTTCCATTTACAGCCATATTTTGGCAGGCTTGCTTTCTCTGCTGAGTTTTGACACAGGTCTGCTAACAACTCGCTTAACCTAACAAATAAACAATTTTTCTTTTTTGAGATGGAGTTTCTCTCTTGTCGTCCAGGCTGGAGTGCAGTGGCACGATCTCGGCTCACTGCCTCCCAGGTTCAAGTGATTCTCCTGTCTCAGTCTCCCCAGTAGCTGGGTTACAGGCATGCACCACCACACTCAGCTAAATTTTTGTATTTTTAGTAGAGATGGGGTTTCGCCATGTTGGCCAGGCTGGTCTTGAACTCCTGACCTCAATTCATCCACCTGCCTCGGCCTCCCAAAATGCTGAGATTACAGGCGTGTACCACCGTGCCCGGCAACAATAAACTGTTTTTAAACCGGGAGGGACTGTCACAGTGGTGTGGCTGGGAGGTTTACTGCTGGTCCTTTCTCCATAAATCAAGACGGCGCAAAGGGAGAGAAGTTGGTAGAGCAACGGTCACAGAGCCCAACGCCCCGGGGCTGCTTAGGCTAGGAGGAGAGCAAAGTTACCTCTCTGACTTCGTGAAGCTGGCCGGAATACTGACTCTTGGCTCTTCGGGCGGCTGCAGGCGACTTGTGATGCGTGATTGTGACCACACCGGGGGCCCCCACACTGAGGTGTCTCTGGCTACAGGGAGACGCAGAATTGGGTGTTCCATGGGGGAGCAAAGTGAGACTTCGGCTTCGGGAGCTTGGAGCACTCTAGAATAAGCAACAGGTGTCAAAACTCAACAACTGACCTGCAGAACACAACTAAGTGTTGGCTTCTATTCATTTTGGACCTCTTGGTCATTCCCCTTCATCTCTTTAGGGAGATGAAGGTACGGGAGGTGTAACAGCACTGCATGCCCAAATCCCACAAATACGCACTGAACTGCCCTTCCGTTAGCTGCCCTTCTGGTTTCTTCTCCATTTGTGTCTCCTGTCCTACATTATGGCCATGAACAGCTATTCAAAATCCTGCCCGCCACCCTCCCCAACCCAGACACCATGCACGCTCACGGAGCTCTACCTGTCTACCTCCTAGGATGCCTTTCCTCTGTGGCTGGTCAACCTCTGCTAAACCTTCAAACTCAGCATGGTGTTCTCTGCTCCGTGAAGCATCTCCCTGGCTTTCGCAGCCTCTCTGCTGCTCTTAGTCCACTGCATCCAGATTATATTGATTATCCAGTTACTCTTGAGAGATGCTTTCATGATCTTTATATCCCCAAGGCTTGGCATATCACAATTGTTTAATTTATTAAGTGCTTAATAATGTCGGCTGTATGCATGAACTAAGCTGACCACCAATTATTCTTCATTTGTTAGTCCAGTGTTTGTTTACATTTCATTCTATAATAACATATGATCCAAATCACAATCTAGTTTATGATAAAGATGACATCTCAACTTAGTGGAGACCAATTCTTCAATAAATGTTGAGATAACTGGGAAGCCATTTAGCCAGGTGAAATGCCACATGTCCCTGTTAAGTCACTGCATGTTTGATGGCAAAGGACAGAAAACAACCCAAATGTCCATCAGCATGGGACAGGTTAAATAAATTATGGTACATCTACGTCATGGAATACTACCAAGCTATGAGAGAATAATGAGAGAGGTATCTGTGAATTAATCTGGAAATATCTCTCAGCTATACAGTTAAGTAACGGAAGGCACGTGATTGTTCTATAGTATGCAAAGTACAGTATTTTCCAACATGAGGTAAGTATTTGTTATTTATTTAAAACTTGTTGAAAATCATCTGTTTAAAACAAATGTACTATGGAAGGATACACATAAAACTATAAAGTGGCAGCTTATTTTGGAGAAACAGAGAATGAAAGGGCAGAAACAGAGAACAGGATTTTTTCCACTGTATACCTTTTATACTCTTTCACTTTGAACCATGTGAATGTATTCCCTATTGAAAACATTTTAGAGCCGGCCGCGGTGGCTCACGCCTGTAATCCTAACATTTTAGGAGGCCAAGGCGGGTGGATCACAAGGTCAGGAGTTCGAAACCAGCCTGGCCAAGATGTTGAAACCCCGTCTCTACTAAAGATAATAAAAATTAGCTGGGCACGGCGGCACATGCCTGTAATCCCAGCCACTGAGGAGGCTGAGGAAAGAGAATCACTTGAACCTGGGAGGCGGAGGTTGCAGTGAGCCGAGATCGCGCCATTGCACTCCAGCCTAGGTGACAAAAAAAAAAAGAAAATTAATTCTGCATACAATTTACATTCTAATCATTCCTATACTTCATTTCAGCTTGAGAAAAGGCAGTTAGATAATGTGGAAATCATCTAGTTTCTATAGTTCAAACATTTACTGAATACCTACTATTTGCCTAGGGAAAAATCTACTGCGTAGTGTCAGGAAGAAACAAAATGTATGAGACAGTTTTTCACCACAGACACTTACAATGTTGCTGGGGCTATAAGATGCACATAAACAAAGACAGACAGAGGAAAACACACACAGATGCACACGTACAAGACAGTACGTAACAATGGCTAACTTGGCAATCCAGCCAAAAAATGTCAAAGAAGTGAGCTCATCTCATCGCGCCAGGATGTTCCGAGAGAGAAGAATCTGAACCCTGAGTAGCTTTGGGAACCTTCAGAGGCAAGGCAGCACACTACATAGCAACCCAATAGTCTGGACATCCAAGGCGGTCTTAGCCTCAGGACACGGCTCACAGGCACAGCTCTAAAAACTGCTAAATGTTAATGATCCATCGTTTTACAGATCACCAGGGGATAGAGGAGTGGGTGGGAGCCAGGGTAGAAATCAGAATTTTGGTTTACCTTGAAATACCACAGTCGCTTGTAAAGTTTCTCTGGATGTGACTTGGACATAATGAATTGCAATGCAGATAAAGATGGGGAATAACCATATGGTAGGTAATTGGAGAAATGTGTGGTCTAAGTACTATATATCTTGATCACAATGAACTACAATAGTCATCTACTTTCAGCTTCAGTCTTTTCACTTGGAGACTAAAGGGAGAAAGAGGATATTTTTTTAATAACAGGAAATTTGCCTAAGTATTAAAGAGTCCACTGAAATACATTCTGGCATGAGCGAGGCTTATTCCAATCCAGGAAAAGGAAAATTTTTTCACTGAGCTTTGAAGCCAGACAGGTAAGTTTCCTTCTTCATTTACACACCTCTATCCCCATTCCTCCCCTACCAAAACCCTGTTCTTTCCAAGCGGTGAGTTATTTAAGCTTTCTCATTAAGCATCAATTTCCTAATCTTTAAAAAAAGAAATAATAGGCCGGGCGCGGTGGCTCAAGCCTGTAACCCCAGCACTTTGGGAGGCCAAGGCGGGAGGATCACGAGGTCAAGAGATCGAGACCATCTGGTCAACATGGTGAAACCCGTCTCTACTAAAAATACAAAAGTTAGCTGGGCATGGTGGCGCACGCCTGTAATCCCAGCTACTCAGAAGGCTGAGGCAGGAGAATTGCTTGAACCCAGGAGGCGGAGGTTGCAGTGAGCCGAGATCGCACCATTGCACTCCAGCCTGGGTAACAAGAGTGAAACTCTGTCTCAAAAAAAAAAAAAAAAAAAAAAAGAGAGAAATAATAATATTGACCCTTAAAAGCCATCATGAAATTTAAATTAGATTATGTATAGAAAATGCTTAGTGCAGTGCCTGACATACAGAAGTGACATAGACAAAGTTTCTTTCTTTATATCACTGAAAACTTGAACGATGAAAGCCTTCTGGATTTTTAAAATGTTAAGAAGTTGCTTAGCACAAAATCATAAGCAGTCTATAAGGTCAGACTGCTCAGAAGCCCAAAACATAATTAAATATTTACAGGGTCAGCCATTAAATAGCAAGATTGTAGGGAAACAAACACACACACACACACACACACACACACACTCTCTCTCTCTCTCTCTCTCTCTCTCTCTCTCTCCCCCCCTCTCTCTCCCTCTCTCTCTTCTAATTCTTAGTAGAAATTAGGACACATCAGAATCAGAGAAGAAGACAGCTCTCACCTTTGCCTATAGCAGTATCAACATGAATGGCAATAAATCAAAAAATTCACCCAAGAGCCAAATGATTCCACTGTGGATGTCTAACCCCATGACCATTACTTAATGGCTGTCATTTGAATTTACAAGCAGTAAATCTGAGTCAAGAAACCTTTACTTTTCCATTAACTGGGGATTCTCATGGTGTAATTCATACCCATACCTTGTCTCAGGACAAATGTGAGCAAAAACTTCTGACTCCTGGTAAACTTCACAGGTCGTCGGTCATTACAAGAACAAGTGAGAAAAGGCAGCAAATTGCAACCGCTATAAATGAGCAGGCTTTCTCTTCAAAAGTCAGCCTGCCTACCATCTCCAGGTTTTGTTTCAAAGTTATGCTTCAATGTCATAAAAAACCTGTCTTCACTACTCATATAAAATATTAGCAGAGTCTGAGAAACAACATGGCAGGTTTCTGTTCCAAATATTTACTTCAATGGGGGCAACCAGAAATCCCAAATGTGCCGTCTGTGAAAAATTCTGAGTCGAGAGTAAGTTTCTTCATCCTTTCCTTAGGAGAACTGTCCCTTCACATAGCCATCAGTGCTCATCTGGCTATTCCCTGTGTCCCCTCACTTCATAAGCACCTGGCTGATGATGGGGTGACAGAAAAAAAGAGTGTGGGAGCAGGTGAGACCCAAGCACTCACGCTCACAGCCCGTCCAGGCATCTGCACACAATCACACAGGCCTCTTTGTCTTTCCCTACATTCTCATTGAATGATTCCTAAATTTCCCAAGGTTGCAAAGAGAAGACAAAACACACATCCTCTTTCTATCGACTGACCAAAACTGGCATTTAGGCAAGGCACGCTTGGAAAAGGAGAGGAATCTCTGGAAAGAATTGCCCAATCAAGGTAATCGGGCAACAAGCCTGGGAAACAGAAGTCTAGGGCGAGAAGGCTTAGAGCGAGAAACAATGGACCATCTACGGGCCCTGTACCAGCCCAGTACTATGGACAGTGTGGGAGTAGTTAAGAGCATACCTGCTCAAGTCGACTGCCTGAGTTCAAATCTGGACGCTCCCACTTGTAAGCTGCGTAACCTAGTAAATGTAGGTGTCTTCCTTTCTAAAGTTTAACATTACCTACTTCACTGGGTTGTTGGAGAATCCAACAAAAGAACATAAAGCATGTGTCATATAGCAACTATGCAATCAATATCATCATTAATAAATTAATAAAATGAAACCTTCAAGCCTCATTATAGGTGAATGGTTGTTAAACGGTCCCTGAATGAACTATATGGCCATTTTGGTCCTTGGTATCTTAAGTAGTCACAGTCTTAAGGCTTAACTTTATAAAAGACAGTCATCCTAATTACTGAAAAACCACCTGCTTCAGAGAAAAAAAAAAAAAAAAAGCACCTAAAATATAATTTCACATTTTCGGAAACCCACCTGTTCCAAATAGAAACGTGCCAAACTGGCTGGGCGTGCTGGCTCACCCCTGTCATCCCAGCACTTTGAGAGGCCAAGGAGGGAGGATCACGAGGTCAAGAGATGGAGACCAGCCTGGGCAACATGGTGAAACCCTGTCTCTACTAAAAATACAAAAATTAGCTGGGTGTGGTGGCGCGCTCCTATAGTCCCAGCTGCTCAGGAGGCTGAGGCAGGAGAATCACTTGAACCTGGGAGGTAGAGGTTGCAGCAAGCCGAGACTGCACCACTGC